ATATATATATATTATATATATATATATATTATATATATATATATATATATATATATATATATAGATTATAGATATATAGATATATAGATATATGTATATATGTATATATGTATATTATTATTATATATATATTATATATATATATATATATATATATATATATATATTATAATTTATTTATCCATTTATTCATTTTATGTATACATGAATATGTAAATTTCAATTTTGTAAGTAGCAGACTATACCAAATAATTTTTCATAGATTTACCAATGTTTTCTCTATGAAAAGGAAACCATATCAAGTATGAATTGGTTACATCTATGGTAATATGAATTACAGAGCAGTACATTTGTTACATGCATTCGTAAAGTAAATGAACAAGTTTTTACAAAAGTTGCGTTGCCTGTATGTACATGTTGTGAAAATGTCTGGTGCACTCAGTTCTAACTTGTATCTTGTGCATGTTGAAAATTAAAGTAATGTATATTGCAGTTCTAAATAACTAAGCCTAATGTAAGAAATATTAATAACAGACAAGTAAGGTTCTAAATCAAAATGCATATAGTTCATCCAGTAAAGCCGTAAATGCTTCATTGATGTCTGTCGGCAAAGTATGGCTAATATTGCATGAAAATGTTGTCAAATATGTAATAACTTAATACTATAAAACACAGAATCAATGCTATTCTTATAATAAGATTAATAGCTATAAATTATATTAGAAATGTATGCAAGCTTTATTGTAAGCTGTGGATGACAATTATAAGAGGCATTTCCCATTATCCTTTGTATATTCTGTAGTTTGTAATAAACCTGCACTATAAGCTTTAGCCACCTCTGTTCTAATGATACATACAGTTCTAATGCTATTTTAAGGTTTATATATATGCTGCCTTATGATACATATCTGGAAAGTTGATATGGAGTACAGATTCATAATTGAAGAGCAGAACTTTAATGACATATTTGTATACATATATGTATTTAATTTTTTGATCATTGATAGGCAAGTATTTTATAGGCAATAGACTGATTCATGCCAATATGATCATACATGAGGCAATTTGCTTTGCACATGCACGTCTGTACAGCCACTCTCAAAGTTTCTTCATCATAATCTCTAATATTTGTATTTCTATGAAGTATATAAAGTGGTTAAATCCCCAGGAACTCAAAACATCATCAGACGGCATAGTCTAGTGAAGCTCCACTCCTTAACCATTGAGGCCCCAATCACGCGGGTCTTTAACATCATCACGGCGGCTCAGGAGAACTCCCCGGCGTACGTGGCGCAGGCGTTGGAGAAGGTCCTAGAGATCCTGAGGTCCACGGAGTTGTATTCTCCTCAGCTTATTTCAGCTGCGCCAGACAACAATAAGCCAGTGCCAGCAGATCCTGTTGCTACAGACCTTTTAGGGGGATTGTTGTCGGTGAGTTTGAGTCTCTCTCTCTCTCTCTCTCTCTCTCTCTCTCTCTCTCTCTCTCTCTCTCTCTCTCTCTCTCTCTCTCTCTCTCTCTCTCTCTCTCTCTCTCTCTCTCTCTCTCTCTCTCTCTCTCTCTCTCTCTCTCTCTCAATTATTGCCATAAATGTGATATATGTGCTAAATAGGAGATTGAAGCTATCATGGTTCCAGATTTTTCTGGAAATTCTATTCACTCATAACCTCAACTAACATTTTATGAAGAGTTTTAGCAAATACAAATGTAAAGTGTAGACCAAATCATTTATTTATTTCTGTATATCGTGAATAACTCTGCTGTATGGGTTTAGATCCTTATCAAAAGTGATATTTTCTTATTTAATTATTTATTCATTTTGCCAGCTTTAGGAAAAAGGGCATAATTCAAACATATGAAGCCATTTTTGTTGTAAATATTTGAAATATATGTCTTTGTTAGTAATGAGATTATATACAGCATCTTAACATACAGTATTGAAAACTATACACTGGATTGTGATAATATTTAGTTGTTTTTATGGAGTTTCACGTCTATTTCCACAGCAAGGGCCAAAGCCACTTCTGTCAGGTCGTCGTAGTAGTAGTGATACTGCAACTAAGTACAGTCAGCTACCTCGTCCATCACTTCCCTTGTTACAACAGCAGGCTTCTGCAGGAATGCGAGAGCTCTTAGCTGAAGATATGTCTTGGAACTTTGATGTCATCAAGCTGGAGAAAATAACAGATAAAAGGTGCTTTACATTGGGTGGAAGTCATGCTTTTTAATTCCTATAGTTTGTCATTGTTAAAATTCATGGACATGGTTAAGAGATAATTTTGTGCTACTGTATTGGATATAGATGAGCTTCTGTTTTACTTTTATTAATGATTCATCTCCATTATCCTCATCACAGACCACTTGTGTGGATTGGAATGAGCTTGATGTGTCGATTTGACATCCCAAATACACTTGGCTGTGATGAACAGACGTTACAGAATTGGCTAACATTGATTGAAGCCAATTACCACCCAGATAACACGTATCATAATTCAACCCATG